TTTACAGGGCCAACGAACAATGAAAGGACACGTGGATCCATCCTACCTAGAGAGTATACTGAACAAGATTGGATTGTAACGCAAAGGGATTGCATTTTTGGAGGCAAGGCTGAAACTAGTCGCTAGAACTGAATAACCTATCTTGAACTAGCCCTAAACAATTGCCTGCACAACATGTTCCTTTGTACCAATTTTGCTAAAATTTGAGGCATTGTAAAACGTATGAGATAACTCCTTCTTTTTAGGGAGAAAGCGATTTTCAAGGCGTGAATGGAAGACCACTGCTTTTTAGAATTCAACTAGAGTTCAATACTTTGATTACAGCTGTAGGCCAATTTTAGTCACTCCGTACCACAGCAACAATCACCCCACTTTGTTCACATGAAGTAGAAACTTGAAAGTATCTCCTGGCCTGTTTATCCACAATTCTATTACTATTTACTACATAATATTTCAAATATAGAAAGCTGTAAGCTAAATTATATCTCAAAGTAAACCTGTAAACGATGATGAAAACAGTTATGACTGCCCATTTTTTGACAGTCTACCACCCTAATATATAACATAAACTTAAACAAGAGCTTCAGGTCTCATTCACGTAAAAAACTGTAATGCAGATTGAGTTAACTTAATTTCAGATAAACGATGCAAATCCAGCCAAAGCCATAGACTTGGATGTACTCGAATAAAGCCCATATACTACCTGATGTCGTGAACACTTGAATATTGCGTGGACCGATAAAATTAAGTGATGCAGGAGTCATTGTCTAAATTAATCCCCACCGGAGTTGATATTAGTAGCAAAAACCTTCATACCAATTAGGATTCTTGATTTTATTTAAAAAGGCTTTAAGTTGGTAACCCCTTTCTCATGAGGAATATTCCTATCACAAATACAATTTCTTTCAATACGATTAGAACAGCATTTGTGCAGGAAATGCTGGTTCCCACTTAAAAGCCTCCACTTGTAATCAAATTTTTAGACCCTGTCTGGACAACGAAATTCGTTGTCCTGTCACTTCGTAACAGCCCTAATTCAGAAGATTAGACTAGTTAATAAAACCTGCTGATAGCGCCTAATGCACCACAGTCGCCAAGTTGTTAGTGCAGGAGCTAGGGGAGAGCCAGTGATGCCACCGCGACTCCGAAGGAATCTCGTGAGACAACCCATCTCGCCTAAAGCATTTCCGCTCGCCTCGATAATGACTGAAGTAATCAATGTTTGATGGGGTTCAAAAGATTTTAAGGCGGCCGCTTAATCAGCCTTGATAAACAGCGAATGACCCATTAGTTAAGCTGTGCCGTCAAAGTGGTAATGCTGATTTTCTTCCTCAAAAAGTGATATTTATAATAGCATAATCTATGCCTCCTTCATCCAATTCATCAGTTCATTTTTATTCGTGCATACATGCGCAATGCACGCGCAGTTAGGACTCTTTTTTGTTTCCTGTTTCTAGCGTTCATCGTCTTTCGCCAAGGGCAGACAGATGATGGTCCTTTTCTGGCACAATATCATAAAAGTGAAGGCCCGAAATGCAGTGCTCAAAATTGGATAGGATGGTGCCAAATTCATAAATTTGCTGCAACCTCAAATATTCTGATCTGAGCGGTGACTAGGCCTCACGAATATACCTTACTTTCTGACTGCAAGTGCGTCCTATGATTATGAGGGTAGAGTCACGGACTATTTCTATTACTTTAGTTGTTCCCATCCTTGTTTCAGGTTTTAACAAAAAGCGTTACCTGAATGAGGTGATTTTTCAGTTTGGCTATCCGCAATGATGAAGAGATGAACAAGCTGTTGGGCGGTGT